GCTATGGCGACTGTGCGCCCACACAACTCACTGTTCGCACTCTGGATCACCCTGGATGTCCCACACGCAACACTCAGTATCCATACGCAACACACACACACACACTATGCTACAGCTATGGCAGCGCTAGCTGCTACTACCCTATCGCTACACTACGCTTCTCTGCCCACTTCGTCTTCGGGCGCACTGCAGACCTCCTCACACAAGCTGCTGAGGCAGCGCTTCCGCATGGCATCCGCAGGAATGAGTGAATGGCTGGACGCAGCCTCTTGATTTATACTCTTGTGCTGCGTTGGTCTGCCCTGTGTCCCTTGGCCCTTGGTGCACACAGTCCCAGACGGTACTTGCTGGACAGGACCGGACTGCCTAACTGGGACTGTTGACTCAGCGAGGTGGCTTACCACCACTTGACCACTTGCCTCTGTTCAACGCAGGCTCACTCCGAAAGGCCACTTCTAGAAACCTCTGACTTGGCCTTTCGGTACTGTAGCAGCTACGACCTTGCCCCTTCAGGTAAGTAGCAGCTACGACCTTGACCCTTCCGGCACCCTACAGCTACGACTTCGGAACTGTCTAGACTCCTACCCTACAGGTCTACAGTTCGATTCCCTTCTACCCTGTGACCTACGAAAACCTACCTACCACTGGCGGTCCTACAGGTCGCAGGTTCAAATCTACGGGTTGAAACTGGTACTGTACACAGGTAAGACGGGGAACTAGGGATCGAGCCCTGGGGTCTGCATTCGCTACTGCGAACTGGTGAATACCGTTTCAAAAGAAACTGACATCAACAGATTTGGGCCCAAGGGGCCCTTCTTGTTTGGGCGTGGTCCCACTGGTCCCAATAGGTCTCGGGTAGCGCGTGGCCAGGTCCCAACCAAGAAGAGTTCCACAAGGACCTACTTTCTGCCCCCTACCGTACTGAAAAACGATTTCAACTTCAGAGAGAGCCTACCAACTACAGCTGTTCAGAAATGAAAAGACAAAGCACCATAGAAAGATATGGCGCTCAATTCAAGATACTCCATCCATCCACTCATCAAGTGAGAAAGCAGTTTGCACGCTCAAGCACACAACCAAGACCATAGAGGAGCAGGAAACGAAACCCAGAATCAACCCCAACAGGACATCAATACCATGCACACACACTCATGGGCATCCCGTAGGTGCACGACACTTACGTGAGTGGCTTGAGCTTCGAGATGAAGTATAACTCACCCCCCTCTCATATGGTCCTCCTGACCCAATCAGCAACCTCTACACTAGTGTCCTATCACCTAGGAGGGTCTACCCTACCCCATGCTACAACGCCGGATCCCCCGTCGTCGTTAAGACCAAAGTAGCAACTTGCATTCTGGAGGTGCAGATACGGCTGCCATCCACAAGCTCGCCAACTTGAGGGGAGCCCTAAACTCGCCCAATGTCCTCCTTGAAGTCCAGATTCCAGTTGTAGGTGCCTCTCACTATCACATCTCACAAATTGTGTCACGATGCTCCTCCAAGTGTCTCGCCAACCCAAACTTACACTCTTGCAACCTGGTGGGGTCAAGTGCCGACCCTGCACGACCCTACCAGGTGGGAGCAGCTTCCCTACACCATGCTGCTGCACTTCCCTTCACGAACCTACCCTAAGGTGCCCTTAACCACTTAGGTTAGGGTTAGGGCAGCAAAGTCAACTTTCGCCAGCAAGTAGAATCCGCTCCGATACCACTGTTACGATCCTGGCCAATTTCGAAGTGCAAAATTCACGAGAAAGCAAAATGTCGTCCAATTGCAAAAGAAATCAATGAACTTTGAACCAACTCCTCCTTTCACCTCCTCTCTTATTCACAAAATAAATGATGATAATAATGATGAATGGCTGAACCACAATTGCAGTCTGAATCCCACTTCTACTGCTTGGCGTAACTAGAGGTGCATCATAGCCATGGCCTCCATCTTCTTCCTCCTCAACCAGGCGGAGGCTATGGCGGACCACTAAGGGCCTGGCCCTGCTGTGCAAAAGACAATGCAAAGCAGCTATGTCCGCTGCTGTTCAGGCCGCCATCCCTGACTCTGTCTTGAAGCCTTCGTGGTGCAGTGCAGCCCCACTGGGGCCTTCCAGATGCAGCGCCTAACAAGGTGGTGAAGATGGGGTCCACTATAGCCAGGTAGGTACCTCGCCACTCTCCTCCCTAGTCCTCTTATCCCTCCTCCTCCTACCAGTAGTGCTCCACCGCAGCCGAGGTGGAAGCTCCCGGCCTTCTTCCTCCTCCCAGCGCTGTTATGCCCAGCGTTCTTCTTCCTAGCAGCGCTCTGAAGACCAGCGCTTGCTCAAGCAACATGTCGCACTTCCATACCGCAAATGAGGTAGAGCCCAGCGCTCTACCTGAAGATATAGCGGCCTACTTGCGTCTTGGGCGGTGACTTGCAGACCGTGCGGCCTCCAAGCAACCGGTACCTCCTCCTTATTTTTTTGGAGGGAAACATCATTGCAGGCTCTGATATCTCCGCACAGCCCCTAGACATGGCTACTTGGACTGGTACCCGCTTAGATCTAGCCTACCAACTACTGGGCCTCTAAGAATGGCAACTTTTGTCTTCTTCTGCTCGGCCTCCAGTTCCTGACACATTTACCACTACTTGAGTGGTACCGGAGTACCTGCTACTTCAGTGTTTTACCCGCTGCTCTAAGTGTTGCAGGCCCACACCAGCTACTTGAGAGTGTTTTCCCCACTGCAACCCTCAAAGTCATGGCCACAGGTAAGTACCATCCCTGCAGGGCCTCCAAACAAACAAGTGCCCTTGCGGGTCACACACACACTCAGGCCGACAAGCACTGAGACAGGCACGCAGCCCAGCAAACACGCACACACGCACACACGCAGACTTAGAAAACTCAGCAGAAAGTGGGAATCGAAGCCAGGCATTCATTCCAGCCGCAAAACTCAGAAATCAGCAGCGTTTTCAGTTTGTGTCTTCACGGGTCATTACAC